TTGTGTAGTTTTCTTTAAAAAATATATCATTCTCCATCAGAAAGTAACGCATTTATTATAACAGTTACAACAAAATTTTTAATACAAATGATGTTTATTAAGATTCGGATTAGAAAAATATTAAAAAATATAAAAGTAATAATTTCATGTATCTTTACTTTACGCGTTACTTTTGCTGTAAAATTGGTCTCTGGGATTTTTGGCACGAATCTTTCGGGAAAGATTTTTTATATTAAGTTTATCTTTCCTCTTGCTAAGATGCAACCACTTTTTGCTAAGGTTAGGGTCTTTAGAAAAATTAAAAAACCTAACGTATTTGCACGCATTCTGTTTAGATTCGTTGTTGGAATCACATCCCACAATAACACACAGCATTTTAATATTTAAGAGCAAACTTGACGGGCGCTCCTCCGCCAAAAATCCGATACTAATTCTATTAAAACAATGATACCAGTGAATATGGCAACGCTGCTGGTCTATGAGGCCCGTGGTTAAAAGGGTAGATCTGTTTAGCTAAATTTGTTAATTCCTGTGTCGAAAAATAGTTGTTTTTGAAGAGGTGCGAAATTATTGTGATCGTCTTAGTTTGTTGTAGAGGCGTTGTTAGGTTTTTGTTTAATTTAGTTTTTAGTTACTTTATGAAATGAAAAATTCTGGAAGGCAAAAATGCTACCACAGCTGACAAATTTCTATTTTAATTGTTTGCTGACAGAGTTAGTAGATCCTAGAGAAATACGACATGTGCCAATTAAGGAAAAGATATTGTCAAGAAATTTTCCCGCTTAAAAAAATGTGTGTCTAAATACATGCGACAAAATTCAGGAGGTGATTGCTCGAATGAAATTAAGATGGGTCTTTCCTATAACAAAATTTCCTCAGCTCACCCCTTTTCGAGATATCACCCTTAAAAGGTGGTGACTAAAATTGAGTTTCTATTTTTTTTATAAAATTTCAGTAAAGCTAGAAACTTGAAATTCTGTAATGTGCACTCGCAAAGGACTAACCACGAGTATTTTTTCAATATTCCTGTTACATTATAGGGGGGTGAAATTAGCAACACTTACTTTATTTCATATCAAAACTTTTTTCGAAATGAACTTTTATGAAATAAAATTATAACTGAAATCCTTGTTTTATTTAAATTTTTTGTTTATTCTTAAATTTTTTTCCCAAAACCAATAGCTTCAGAGAAAAAAAATAAACACCCTAATTTATTATTTTTTTTAATAAATTGAGTGGAAAACAGTATTTTTTTTTCTATGAAGCTATTGGTTTTGGGAAATTTTTTTTAAATAAAACAAGTATTTCAAGTTACAAAATTATTTCATAAAACTTCATCTCGTAAAAAAGTTTTGATATGAAATTAAGTAAGGGTTGCTGATTTCACCCCCCTATAATGTAACAGGTATATTGAAAAAATAACCATGGTTTGCGAGTGCACGAAAATTACAGAATTTCAAGTTTATAGCTTTACTGACATTTTAGAAAAAAAAAATCTGATGTGTCCAACACATGACTTTCCTATCTAGTTATTATAGGCTTTTTCCGGTTATTTTGTACAACCTATTGCAGCATCTCTATAAATGTTTGGAGGATAAACTAAATATATACATTGTCCACATACATCTACCTCGAAACATTCTTCTATAGATATTCATGGAAAACGAAAATACTGAAAAATTAAAATTTCCTACAATTTTTTCATTACGGTCCATTTTAGAAAAATCATGTATAAACAAAAATTATAGAGATCGATATCGCAAACAACTTTGATTTCAAAAACTTTCATAAAATTCAGAATTTTGCACATTTTGTCAAATTTCTCGAATACGGACCATTTCAGGAAATTTTTACATAAAACAAAAATTATAGATAATAATATTAGAAGTAACTTTTATTTGAACAATTTTTTTCTCCAAACATTAATAACAGATATATTCCATAAAATATAAAAGTGGCCTCCCATAAAGTACCCCCCAGATGTTCCGATGTCTAAAATCTAATCATTTCACGTCAGGCCGAAATAAACCTTAAGTTTAAAATTTAATGTTTTTTTCTTTATCCGTTTTTGAGTTTTCTTCAAAATTCGAAATTTACACATTTTCTCAAATATCTCGAATACGGTCCATTTTAGAGAAATTATGTATAGAATAAAAATTATAGAGAATTATATTACAAACAACTTTTATTTGAACAATTTTTATAAAAAATTATTTTTTTTACATTTTGTCAAATTTCTCGAATACGGACCATTTTAGGAAAATTTTGCATAGAACAAAAATTATAGATAATTATATTAAAAGTAACTTTTATTTGAAAAATTTTCTTCTCCAAACGTAAATAACAGATATATTCCATGAAATATAAAAATGACCACCTATAAAGTACTCCCCCAGATGTTCCGACTCTGCCCAAAATCTAATCAGCTCATTAGACGCTGGAACAAAGCCTAAGTTTGAAATTTGGTGTTTTTCCGTGTATCGGTTCATGAGTTACGCGTTATACAGACACACACACACACACCCACAGACACACAGACACACACACACACACACACACACACACACACACACACACACACACACACACACACACACACCACACACACACACACACACACACACACACACACACACATACACACACACACACACACACACACACACACACACACACACACACACACACACACACACACACACACACACACACACACACACACACACACACACACACACACACACACACACACACACACACACACACACACACACACACACACACACACACACACACACACACACACACACACACACACACACACACACACACACACACACACACACACACACACACACACACACACACACACACACACACACACACACACACACACACACACACACACACACACACACACACACACACACACACACACACACACACACACACACACACACACACACACACACACACACACACACACACAGACATCATCGCGAAAATAGTCAAAACGGATTCAGGGGACCTCAAAACATAAAAATCCGTCGAAAACTCGAGGTCGAAAAAAATCATGATTCCTATACTTTCCTTATATCTGTATACAGATAGGAAAGTAAAAATAGAAACTCAATTTTAGTCACCACCTCTTAAGGGTGATATCTCGGAAAGGGGTGGGCTGAGGAAATTTTGTTATAGGAAACACCCACCTTAATTTCATACGAGCAATTACCTCCTGAAATTTGTCCCATGAATTTTGAAACACCCTGTATGTTGGTATATTAAGGTGAATGCAGCAGCCTTTATAATTTTCGGACAAGGATATTTCAAAAAGTAATTTTGTTTAAAAATTAAAATTTTGGCAAAATAAATTAGGTAATATTAACTAGATATGCCTATATTTTAAAGTTTTAATTTCTTTCAGTTTCCGAAAAAAAATCAAATATGATAATGAAAATAAATGCATTCCTCAACAGCACTATTCTTAATATAAACCCGAAATTTAAACTCTTAATGTCTTGGTAATGATTTTTTAAAATTCGCCAAAATTAGTGGCTAAAACGCCTCGTTAAGTGCTGCCTTCTGGTGTAACGCGCTTGTAAGTATCGTATCGTACACTCTGTCATTATTCGTTTCTTGCAACAATTTACACCAGTTTAAACAAGAAGATAGCACTTAACGAAGCGTTTTAGCCATTAATTTTGGCGAATTTTAAGAAGTCATTAACAAGACATCAGGAGCTTAAATTTGGGGATTATATTAAGAATAGTGCTGTCGAGGAATGCATTTATTTTCATTATGATATTTCAAAATTAAAGCCCTTTTAGTTTTTTTTCGGAAACTGGAAGGAATTAATACATTAAAATATATGCATATTCTAGATATTACTGCCTAATTTATTTTGCCATTTTGAGATATTCTTGTCCGAAAATTATAAGGGGTGTGATCACCTTAAGATTGAAAGATAAATAGCTTTAATTCATGAGATGCAAAGCATGATAATTGTCGCGTTACAAAAACTACCTGCTGCCAAGAGACATTTTTTAAAATATTTCAATCCTCTTTAACCCACCATTTTTATTAAGATTTCTTCTTCAAAATCAATGGACTTTTCATTATGTTGATATAATTTTTCGTTTTTGAATTAGAATTTTTTTAAATATTTCAATCCGTCCCACTTAATCCCATTTTTATATTTTTTTAAAATCAGTAGGCTTCATCTTCTTTTAGAGCTTGATTTTTTCTAAAAATTTCACGTTAATATCAGTTTTCGTTTTTGAGTTAGAATTTTTTTAATATTTCAACCCGCCTTCCTTTAATTTTTTTTTCAGATTTTTTCAAAATCAATAGGCTTTCACCCCTTGTAGAGTTTGATTTTTCCTAAAATTTTCAAATTGAAATCGTTTTTCATTTTCGACTTATCATGCGGACAAAAAACGTGACATCGGACGGTGGGACGGACATTTTTGAAAGTTGTTTGAAATTTGATGAGACCAATTTTGGCACAAATTTTTTAAATTAGGACCATTATTAAAAATTTTTGTATCTTAAAAGTAAACCCTATAATACTCTGTGAAGAGTATAACAATTAACAATATTAAAAATGTTGGTTTCTTGAAAATAAACGTATTAATATTTTTTACAGACCTGTGTGAAGAGTATAATAATAAATAAATGCAAGTTATTCCATTTACAAAAATGATCTCGATATCTGTTCTGTGATTATGAAGCACCCTGTATAGTCAAAATCATTGTAGAAATAGTTTCTTTGGTACTGTATAATATTGAAATTAAAATATTTTTTTAAATTTTCTATGTTATGCTCCGAGAGATTATAATTACTCATCCTGTATAAACTATCTATAATATAATTATTATAAATCATTCTAAATAGAATCGATTTTTCATTCAAGCGGCTAATATCCTAAACAAACAGATAATATCCGAGAAAAGTAAATTGACCGAATATCACTGAACCAAAATACACACCCCAATCTTACCTCCACAACAAAACAACAATCTCCACTTCCATCTGCTTAAGAGACAATTGGATCTCCAGAGGATCCGCCAGTTGCTTGGAGGTTTCATCCCTTGGGGCGAGTTGGAGGGCCGTCAATACTTTGGGGGTGTCGTTCCTCCAACCCCAGTCGGTCTCTCTCTGTGTCACGAGCCAGGAAAGAGCCTTCTGGACTTTGGATATTTCGGTCTCCTTTTCTTTGTCCTTCTCATGGGGATCGGACGTGGAGGTTGTGGTACTGGAACGTGCGGATTCTGTGGTTTCTGCAAAAAGGAGAATACGTTTACGGCATGAATAATAGTCCTGGCGGTATAGATAAGTCACAGAATTGTGATTAGGGTTCTTTTACTGACATTTTAATGTTGGATTTGCGGTTAGCGTCCTATGAAAACTCCATGCAAACTTTTAATAAAAGGATTACGATTTTACATATCGTTAATGTAAATCGAAAAGTGCGGAAAATTTTAGAGGAGAGCCAAGAAGCCAATTTAAATTAAAACCCTTGAACTTAATAAAACTGAATTTGTTTTTATGATAAATAATGTAATTTGGATGAATAATAAAATAAGCATTTCTCAGACAGAAATTCTGCCGCTTTGGTACTAGATGGAGTCATAATCAATATTTCAGAAGAAAGTGCAGTTCACACTGACGATATGTAACATTTTCCGTTTAAATAAATGATTAAAATTGGTATTATATACAGTCTAGGTAATGAGACGTGATAGACCCATTATTAATGGGTGATTTCGAATCATCCAAGTGTCTTACACTTACAGTTAACGTATGTACTTTTAACTCTGAAACACCTTGTATATATCAGTTAACAAAAAAATCTTTCATTATTCGACTTCTGTTTGGGATTAATAGGGGTAGGGTCGCAACTGTCTCACTTAAATTTGATCATTATTCGAATAATCAAGACAGGGGCTCAAATGTATCGGGGGCGCAAATGTACGGGGAACATCTGTCCCGGATTCTCATCATCTTCTTTATTTGAATATGGACCAGTGTTAATCCGTTAGAACATTTGAATATTCAATGTTGAATACAATGAGATAACTACATATTATTGAGATCAGCCAACATTTCGGAAGATTTGAACGTCATAAGGTAAGTTTACTAGTAAGAACCTGTATTATGAATTCGAAATAAGCAACTAGAGTACGATTCAACTAAGAAAAAGCCACACACATCATACCTGACAAAGGCCGCAATAATTTGCCTCTCTCTCAGGTCCATCCCATTTAAGCGTCAGTGGCCTTTTTGGCGATTTTTTTCGTTTTTCTAATATAGAGATACAATTGCTTAATAATTTGGCAACGCTGTACGACTGCCGCATGGTCCAGAATATAATTCGAACAGAAGCTATCGCGTAAACATGGATCCCTTATTATTGTGAGCCAAACTTCGGCGTTGCCAAGCTTTTACTTACGAACAAAAATACGGGTTCATCGGAAGAAAGTGAAGACAGCGAGAGTACTATACTCTGTTTTTAAACTAGGAGGAGCGAATTGAAAAGACGCATTTACACAGGGAAAAGTAACTAGATTTGTTACTAAGAGCGAGTTTCGAAATATAGTCGTGTTCAAAATTTATTAAATAATTATCTTTATCGGCCTTAGTCGGTGAACGGCCAATGAGCGGTAAAAAAACGAATAAATGTCATAGAACTAATTTTTTAATTGGTTCCAGACAACGGTCGCAAATTTCACATTATTGTGATCTGAAATGTGTGTCTAAAACGAAATGTCATTGTCAAATTAAAGTCAATATGGTTGTTGATTGATGTCAGAAATACTTTTTTCTTGTTTTTGAGAATAACTATGATCTTTTTAAAATGGATATTAAATATTTAAGAAAATTGTTAATGGAATATCCAGATGTAGCCAGGTTAGTATAAAATATAAAGATCTGTTTACATTTTTAAGGATATATTTGTTATATGTATAAAAAGTAAAAGTTAATCAGTGAATGACAAGTGGATCACACAGTAACTGGTATCTCTTCTATGATTAATGTGGATATTATGGCTTAGTGTTAACCCATGGTTAATGCGCTAGAGGGCAAATAGAGGCATTCAAAAGTTTACAGGCCTATGAGTCAGAATTTGTTTTGAAAACTGGAACCAACATTTTCATAACACTACATGTCAACATATATTTTTTAAAGTGAACTATTCATACATACCTATGTATTAATTTTAAGTATTTTTAAAATATTTTTTGTTAAAGTAATGTTAACTCATTGTGCCAAATTAAGATTAACCCTAAAGTAGTAGATGGTGTTTTAAATGTTATAACAATTTTGTAAATAGTTTTATTCTATTCTAATAAATAAAATTTGCTAGAATATTTAGTTACATTTTAATCATTTTGGTTAGAAATTCATCAATTTTTAGTTTTAAAAAATCAGTAATAAAATTATTTTTTTCTAAAATACTTCGGAATTCATCTCTTGATGGTAATCTCCCGTCTTTTTACCTTCAAAACCCTTTCTTGTAAGGCTTTTTAGGAATTGCTACCTTTAATAGTACTCAGTGTAGAAGGATCCATACTTGTAGATTTTCAATACAATTGCTTACTGAAGAACTATTATTTACGAAATAAAGTAAAAAACTAAGTAATGGATAAGATATCAAATTATAAAATGTCAGAACTGTCAACAATATCAATTATTAGCTGATGTTCATACTAAAAAGTAATGTGTGAAACTGACTGTAATCTGACCAATCAGAAGGCTACAGAATTGCCAACTTAAATTCAAATCGCTCCTCTTAGTTTAAAAACAGAGTATAATAGTTCATTAACGGACGAACTAGGATGTACTCCTCTAGTTTCACTTTTTGCACTAGTTGCATAAATAACTATTATTTTAATTGTAATAAAAATCTTAAATTACAAAATTGTGTTGCTATTTTTATTTACTTCCCACTGAATGTTTTGCAAGTCTAAAGTCGAAAAATATATGTAATGTTATTTTAGTTTAGTTATTTAGGTAATATACAAATGTTTAAATCATTACAATTTTACTTTTTAATCCAATAAATGTTTTTTGTTGGGAAACTGCTTTAATTCTTATTTAAATAAGAGCCTACGCCACTGGTATATCGATCTGGAGCAACGGAGAAGAAATATTTTAAAGTGAGTCAGACGATGACTAGTTGATGGCGCCCGTGGATTTTTCTAAGTTGAATCGTACTCTACATTTTAAAAGTTAAACTTACATTTATTTCTCTTTAGTTAATTCTATTACTATTGACAAATATAATTTAATTGAAGGAATATTTTACATTTTTTAGCGATGTCGCACCCTCTTCAAAGGCAACTTAAGTCAAAAAATGCAAATTGTTAGAAAATAAGATTGAAAACAGTTTAGCATGATTTTATAATTTTGTGGGCGTATTAAAGTGATTGTTTTAATGCCATGTCTGGTCAATATTTTTCTTTGTATATACGGATAAATTATAATTAGTGATGCCGCGAGACGAGAGATTGAAAATAGATTCGAAGCGAGACGCGAGACGAGAAAAGAGAGTGTCGTCTCTCGACGAGAATTTCTCGTTTGTCTCGAGCTCTCTTGAGTTCTCACGAGTAATTTACTTTTTCTTATTTAAAATTTTCAATTGATTATTGTAACTTAAAATTTAAGTATATCATATTTTAAGACAGTAAAAAATTAACTGTAATACACGTATTCTATATAATAAATCGTAAAAAATAATACGTGTGTAATTGGGATTTTATAAATAGTGATTTATAAGAAAAATTATTTTTCATGATATTTATTTAAAATTAATTTTAAATAGAAGCTGCAAGAAGTTTTTATCGACTTAAAATTTAAATTTCAAAAGAAAAAGGTTATTAAAAAACTCAAAATAGCCCACACCAAAGTTGGCTACTGACATTAGTTTTCTGTCAGATTCGCATTATTTTTTTTTTGTAAATGTAAAATAGTTATTTATGCATACAATATTTTTTCCTCTACCGGAAGTTTTATCAAAAAATGAAGGTTTCATATAAATTTTCTTCGCGCACTAGTGCGTAAAGTATATTTCTTTACGCACTAGTGTGAGAAAGTTTAATTTTTCGTTCTAATTATAACACTTTTGTTTGTAATAAAATATAACTAAACTAATTTAATACATACGTATTTTCACCAAATTAAAACAAATTAACTAGATTAACTTAAGACTTAAATGTTATTATTTAGTTATTAATAATAAAACGAATTAACTAGATTAATATGGAATTGAATATAAGTTATTTAATTATTAACAATATTAATGTGAAAGTACAGTTTGTGCACTTGTTAAAACTTAATCCTTTAGCTTGCTCCATGCTAGAGTTTACTGTGGTGTCAGAAACTGATGACGTAGCATTACTAACAACATTTACATTAGGTACTAAGTTGTTTAAATTATTATAGTTAAGGCTAGTTACTTCATAACATGAAGAATTGCCAATAGCGTTGCTAACTTGCGTGGAAATAGAAGGGGAGTTATCTTCTAATACATTCGCATTTTGTGATGTGCAAGGAATATTATCATCCATTAATATTAAATTAGATACATGATTTCTTTTACTCTTTTACTTAAAGTAGCCCTCTGCGACGGTAGACGACTTCCAGTCCCCATGTTTTTTAACTGTTAGAAAGTCACCGCCAGAATTTGCCAATATTGTTGCTGATGACCCCCTAAAACAATGTCCAGTATAACATAGTCGGATTAGGCAATTGAAGATAATGTGTTATAATAGACGGCATTTTGCCAAATGTATTTATGCCTACTGGTTGTTTGGTGCACTTATTGTTTCCATATTTCAAAAAGAATCTGGAAGTCGCCATCATAGAAGGTCTTAAGACAATATATTTTTTAATATAAGATTATCAATTTTTGAATTGGTGGGATTTAAAATAGTAAAAATACTTTCAGTCTTTTTAGTTTCAGGAATTCTAATAATAAGTACTGTTTCTTTGTCTTCGATATCATCATATTTTAAATTTGTCAATTCGTCTCTTCGGCATGCGCTGGAAATGCCAATTATAAATGTCACCTGGAAAAAACAATATTGATGTAATGACTGATGACTTTATTACTCACTTCAGCAGAAAAAAAAGTTTCCTTGGTGCGGATTTGATCCCGGGTCTTCGTCACAAGCATTTTACCACTGCGCCACTATAACTCTTTGTTATATTATTTACAGTTGTAATTTTTTCCATAAAAATGAGTGCTAAATTACAACACTACCAGTTTTTATTATAA